GCCTGTCTCTGCCTCCCAGGCATTGGGATTAAAGGTGTACACTACTACACCTTGAACTCACAGAGATCTGTTTGTCTCTGCCTTCTAGGCACTGGGATTAAAGGCGTGTGCTACCACACCTTGAAGTCACAGAGGTCAATCTCCCTCTGCCTCCCAAGTGTTGGGATTAAAGGTGTGTACTACCACACACAACAACTCTCTTCCTTTTTTTTGTTTTGTTTTTTATTTAAGAACTTCAACTTTTAGTTTACATATATTTTTAATACACTGTAAACCATTTAAAAATTTTCTTTGTCTTTGAATCTCTCTTTACTGTATATCTCTCTTTTTCTGACCACATGAGTCTTTAATTTACCAAGCAATATCAGTAGGATTAAAGGCATGGCTTTGCCGGCTGGATCCAGCCCATTCCTTAGCTTTCCAGCCTCATGGCTGAGGTACTGGCTGTAGCCATGTTTACTGCCACAACTCTATGGCATTTCAAGGTCCCTATCAGCAAGCAAGCTTCAGCAGCCTGTGCTTGCAAACCGCACGAACCGCCTGCGTAAATGAGTCAGAGTTTGCCCTGGCAAGACAGCCCAGAAAGCCGACATTTTTAAACGGCGCAGCTTTTTTCCTGCTACGGCTGAAAACCGAAAAGCATGCGTTCAGCTTTTCGTCAACACCATTTAAGTGTTTTGTGGCAGGACCTTTTAATGAGCTGCAGGGTTTTGCAGCTAAAGCTGAGTCAGGAAGCCTCTATTAAATTGCAGCTACCAAGAAAACATGTTCTTCTCTTTCCCAAGCTTTCTCAGGCTTTCAGTGGATTCAGTTGTCCACACGTCTGGGGGCCAATCTGTAGTAATAAGAGTGGCGGGGCTGCATCCCCAGCACTCCGGCTGCTCACATGGCTAGCTTATGCTCCAAAATAACAACACACAAACTGTATTCATTTAAACACTGCTTGGCCCTTTAAGCTCTAGCCCTTACTGGCTAATTCTGATATCCCGATCAACCCATCTCTAATAATCTGTGAGAACAGGTCTTACTGGGAAGATTCTAGCCTAGTCCATCCTGGGTCGGAGCTTCATGGCGTGTGTCTGCCCAGGAGTGGGGCATGGCGTCTCTCTCAGGCGTCTGCTCCTGAGAGGAGAGCTGTGGAGTCTGAGCTCACTTCCTCTTCCTCCCAGCGTTCTGTTCTGTTTACTCCTCCCACCTATCTTATAACCAATAAAATGGGCCAAGGCAGTTCCTTTATTAGCCAATGACCTTCCTCCATCACTTACTCCCCCTCTCCCTTTACCCCACCACCCATCTGGGGTAAGGCCTTCCTTGGAAAGTCAACTAAATCTGTCCCATTACCTTGTTGAGGAAGCACAAAGGCCTTTCCCTATGCCTAGGCTGAACAAGGTATTTCTCCATAGAGAATGTGCTCCACAAAGTCAGTTTATGCATTAGAGCTAGAGCCTGGTCCCACTGCCAGTGACTGCATATACTTCCCAGGCTAAACCATTGTCATCTGTATTCTGGGGGCCTAGTTCAGTCCTATGCAAGTTCCCCGTTTGTCAGTCTGGAGTCAGTTATCTCCCACTAGCTTGGGTCAGCTGATTCTGTGGTTTTCCCCATCTTGGTCTTCACCCCTTTGTTCATGTTATTGGTCCTCCCTTACTCCAATTGGGCTCCGGGAGTATGGCTCAGTGGTTAGTTGTGGATCTCTGCATCTTCTTCCATCTGTTTCCAGAAGAGGCTTCTAGCTTCTCTGGAATTGTAGACAGTAGGATGGCTATCTTTTGCTTTATGTCTGGTATCTACTTGTGAGGGAGTACATAGTATATTTGCTTTCTGTGTCTAATTTACCTTACTCAGGATGCTTTTTTCTAGTTCCATCAATTTGTCTGCAAATTTAAAGATGTTTTTGTTTTTTACTTCTGAGTAGTATTCCATTGTGTAAATGTACTACATTTTCTTTATCCATTCTTCGGTTGAGGGGCATCTAGGTTGTTTCCAGGTACTGAGTATTTTGAATAATGCTACTATGAACACAGTTGAGCAAATGTTCTTGTGGTGTGAGTGTGTGTCTTTGTGTATATCCCAAAAGTAGTATTGCTAGATCTTGAAGTAGACTGATTCTTAATTTTCTAAGACATTTCCATACTGATTTCTACAGCAGCTGAGCAAGTTTGCACTTCTATTGGGTGCCAATTGTTGCAGGGAGGAAGGTCCTTTTTTTTTTGTCCCAGCTGTCCAGCTAGCTTAGCCCTGAAATAACCACACAGAAATTGTATTAATTAAATCACTGCTTGGCCCATTAGCTCTAGTTTCTTATTGGCTAATTCTTACATCTTAATTTAACCCATTTCTATTAATCTGTGTATCACCACATGACAGTGGCTTACCAGGATGTATTCAACACATCTCTCTCTAGCGGTTACATGGTGTCTCTCACCTACTTCACCTTTCTTCCTTCCAATATTCAGTTGTATCTTCCCTGCCTACCTAAGTTCTGTGCTATCAACTAGGCCAAGGTAGTTTCTTTATTCATTAACCAATGAAAGCAACACATGGACAGAGGGACCTCCTACACACACTTCCACAATCAATGGAGGAGTACTCTCCTTACTCCACATTCTCTCCAGCATAACCTTTCATCAGTGTTTTTGATCTAAGCCATCCTGACAGGTATAAGATGGTATCTCAGAGTTGTTTTAATTTTCATTTCCCTGATGACTAAGATGTTGAACATTTTCATAAGTGGCTTTTGGCCACTTGAGATTCTTCTGTTGAGAGTTCTCTGTTTAGGTCTGTACCTCATTTTATTTTATTGGATTATTTGGTAATTTGATGTCTAGTTTCTTGAGTTCTTTATATATTTTGGAGATCAGTCCTCTATCATATTGGGGTTGGTGAAGATCTTTTCCCATTCTCTAGGCAGCTGTTTTGTCTTATTGACTGTTAATAGTTGCTCTCAGTGTCTGTGCTATTGGTGTTATATTTAGGAAGTGGTCTCATGTGCCTATGTGATCAAGGCTACTTCTCACTTTCTCTTATATGAGCTTTAGTGTGGCCGGATTTATGTTGTGATCTTTGACCCATTTGGACTTGAGTTTTGTTAATGGTGATAGATATGGATCTATTTGCATTCTTCTATATGCCAACATTCAGTTATACCAGCACCATTTGTTGAAGACGCTTAATTTTTTTCTATTGTACAGTTTTAACTTCTTTGTCAAAGGGAAAAACTATGGCTGTATAGTGTCAAACCCAGAGATACTTTCAGTCTTTGTGCCAACCATCGGTGATGAAGGAGGGTCATCTGTCTATTTGATGCTTTCATTGGTTACTTAATAAAGAAACTGCTTGGCCTTTGATAAGACAGAAAATTAGGTAGGCGGAGTAAACAGAACAGAATATTGGGAGAAAGCAGCAGATTCAGTCAGTCGCCATGATTCTCCCATCGGACACAGACGCAGGTTGAGATCTTCCCTGGTAAGACACCTTGTGGTGTTACAGGGATATTAGAAATGGGTTAGATCAATATGTAAGAGCTAGCCAGTAAGAGGTTATAACTAATGGGCCAGGCAGTGTTTAAAAGAATACAGTTTCCGTGTAATTATTTTGGGTAAAACTAGCTGGGTGGTGGGAAGCAGCCCTGCCACTCCCCATCTCTGAGATGGATGCCTGTTAGACTCGTCCCGGTAAGCCACACTCAAGTGGCAATAAGGATATTAGACATGGGTTAGATCATCCCACTACACATCGGGACAGTTGTTCCCACTGATATCTGAGTTAGAAGAAATTCCTTTCTTTAGAGTTGGTTAATTAATCTAAAGCTTTTTTCTGTATCTCTATTGGTAAATAGTAGAACAGGGGTAAACTGAGGTTGCCCTGTCCCAAGTCAGCTGTGGGAGAATTCAAGGTATCCAATATATATTCTATATATCAGAATTATACAGTCAAATGAAAAGTCATCTTTCAGACTACCCACAGATACACACACACACACACACACACACACACACACACCCCACAGGAAATGGGAAATGCCTAAAGCTATTCTTAGGGAAGAAATAAAGTGACGCATGAGAGAAATCTATAGACAGAAGCAACTGCAGAAGCAACTGATTTCCACAGCTAGTAACTCCATGGCCCTGCCAGGTGAGGCTTCTTACCAGAGAACCATTCATCTGGTAGGTCGACCCATTGAACGCTGCTATACCTCTCATGGCCCTTGACAAAACTAAAATGGCCATTGACTCAGCCATGCTCTTGAGTATATAGCCTGGGTTCAGAGACCTTGTCAGAGGGATATGGGTATATCCATGTGTCTGATGCCCTATTCACAATAATCAAGTTATAGAATCAGTCCGTGATGTGTTTTATATTCTCATAATTATTAAAGAGAAAGAACAACATAAATCTTAACACTCACTGGAATTTATTTTGTGTTTATCTAGTCACAATTTTGATCCCCTTTCCTATGGATTTGGTTGCTTTTCTTACTCATTTGAAAAAATTCTTCATAAACAATAAATTTCAGTTTTTTATTTTTTCTGTGTTTATTGCAAAAACTTCTCATGGATTGGGTTAAATCTATTAATCTCTATATTTTCAAACTTTAGTAAAAGTTTTATTAGTGAAAGGGGGAATTTGTTGTACCTTCTATTAATCATTATGTCATAGATTGTTTGCATTTTGTTACAAGTGTCCTGTTTCCCTTTCTCCTATCCCTTCCATGTTCATGAGATCTATGTATCTTCTAAGACCCTGAAAGCGTCTAGTTCAAAGACAGTTCATATTAACACAACCAGAAGGTCTTGGCTTAACTGTTCATTTTAGTAAGTAGTTTTTCCCATTGATATCCATATTCAGTACACTGCTTCCTTCATAACCTGGATTATTTTACAAATACTTCCTCAGTTTAAAGCATTATGTACAATGGGACAAATTCAATGTTTAGAAGCTTGAATTACCCTTAGATTATGTTCTATTATCTCACCAGGAAAGATTTGTGCATTGAACAGTTTAAGAATCTCTCCTGGGGCCAAATTCTGTGTTTTGTGGGAACCTGAGAATCATTACCTAACATCAGTGAATGTGGGAAACAGAAGACTGAAAAATGGGCAAAGACATGAGAGAAGATACTGAAAACCGGCCTTGAACAAAAACCCATTATTGAAGAAATCCAAAGGCAGGTAATATCTACATCTAAGAAGAGGAGCAGGGTTACAAGGAAATCACTAAGAAGGGTCCTCTAAAGGCATTGGAAAATAAATTAATATATGAAAAGATTTTTTAAAAAAATGCCTGGAGCCTTCATTGGTGTGATCTGTTTTTGCGATGGTGGAAGTAATTGAGTAGGTGCAATTAACAATAGGATGGTGTCTTAGGGCTACTGCTGCTGTTGATGAAACACCACAACCAAAAGCGTGTTGAGAAGCTTGCACTTCCACGTCACTGTTCATCACTGAAGGAAGTCAGGACAGAAATTACAGGACAGGATATGGAGGCAGGATTTGATGCAAAGGTCTTGGGGTAGCGTGGCTTATTAGGTTGCTCTCCATGACTTGCTCAGCCTGCTGTCTTACAGAACACAGGACCACCCACCTAGAGATGGCACAACTCACAACGGTCGCCCAATAAACCACTAATTAAGAAAATGCTTTATAGCCTGACCTCTTACAGACATTTTCTCAATTGATGTGCCCTCCTTTTAGATAACTCTAATTTGTGAGAAATTGACATAAAACTAGCCCTAACCAGCACAAATGGTGACTTAATTTTCTCTCTGTTGCTGTGATAAAGTCAGGACCAAAAGTAACTTGGACAGGAAAAAGTTTATTTTATTTTACAGCTGATACCCCACTGTAAAGGGAAGTTTGGGCAAAAAATCAAGGCAAAAACCTGAGAGCAGGACCTCAAGTAGACACTATGGAGGATTGCTGCTTATGACTTACACTCCATGCCTTGCTTGGTGTGTGTGTGTGTGTGTGTGTGTGTGTGTGTGTGTGTTTGTGTTGGAGCAGCCCTGCTCAATTCATCCAGGATGGTACCACCCACAGTGGGCTCAGCTCCTTACATCAATCACTATTGAGAAAATGCTCCACAGTCTCCCCTACAGGGAGATTTGATGAAAACTCAAGTGAGGTTCCCTATTCACAGATGCCCTAGCTTGTGTCAAATTGACAAAAACAAAAACCAAAAACAAACAAAAAGATCTTTAGCCAGGACAAACTGGGATAAAGAACAGAGCAATAATTCCCTGAAAAATTGAAACTAGCTACTCAGATACCCTTAAAAGGATTTGGTTATCATCATTTCCAGAATTTATCCAAGTAAGTTGTAGCTATAGGTGTCAAATATAACTTGCTCTTTACATAAAAAAATCCTTATAACTAAGTAAATGTAAAATATATCTTACAGATCTCTGTAATGTTTAACTATAATCTCCTAATGTTTAACTTATTTCATGCTCCAAAAGCCTCTGGTTTCCTACTTCCAGCACAGTCTTACCCAACATATCTGAACCTAGTTCACTTTACTCTTCCTAGAACGCTTCTAATTGGTCAAGAAAACCGTGGCAGGGAATATTTACACCTCAACAGCCATCAACTCCTGCATTTCTTAACATTCCATCAGAACTGGTTTTGCTTCTTCCATTGATCTGCAAACTGTGAGTAGAAAAGGATAGATTTAGACAATACCAAGGCTTTCCCTGTCTTCTGCATAATACATGTACAATTCTCTTCTTATAGTCTAGACATGAATTTGCATGACTTTAATCGCAGCACTTTGGAGGCAGAAGAAGGTAGATCTCTGCTAACTGGAGATGAGCCTGGTCTATATAGTGAGTTCCAGGCCAGCCAGGGTTACATAAAGAGACCTTGTCTCAATATTTTTTCTCATTAATTTGTTTTTCTTCTTTTCGTGAGCTTCATTGCAAAAAATATGAAGGAGACATACACTTGCTTTCTCCATATGGTCATTTTTTCCTGCTGTCAGTAAAAACCTCCGATGTCTATTTCCAAAGTGAACCTTCTTTAGACCCTCTTTCCTTGTTTTAGAGAAGGAAATTCTCTCTCTCTTTTTCTTCCTCTTCTCTCCTGTCTCTACTGCCTCCCCTCCTTTTCTTTCTTTTAAAAGATAGCCCAGCTGTGTGACTGAATACAATTATGAACAAACGGAAATTTCATCCAGTGTGCTTTCAGAGGCATTCTAACACACCTACCCAGGACAGTCAGGTTGGAGCATGTAGTGACTGTATAGACAGTATGTGGAAGTACTGTGGGTGTCAGGTGAGATGTGGTAGACTCTCTTTAGTCTCCTCTTCACTCCAGCAATATTCTCTATGAATGGACTCTCCACTGATTACTATTATGTGCTGTTTGGTTCCTTCAGCATACTACCAAGGATAAATTTAAGCTTTCTTTTTTAATACCAGTGCCATTTACCTCCACTGAAATTCCTGTGTGTGTGTTGTGTGTGTGTGTGTGTGTGTGTGTGTGTGTTCCTTCAGCTCAACCTTTTCATTTCCAACACTCTATGGTGAGCATGGTTGGACTTGAGTTGTTAGGGAAAGAACCTGCAAGGCAGAAGTTTCCCAATTAGACATCTTAATTTGTGGTTCAGAGTAATAAGCCTTCTAGGTGATTCTTATTTAATGGTTATCTACCTGATAGATGTCTGTAAAGAAATTAGTCATGCATGTTGCATGGATGTAATTCCATCACAGTCAATATCATCCATGCACATTGACACTAGCCTGGACTACACACTGAGTTCTGGACCAGCTTAGACTATATAGCAAATGCTTGCCTCACTCAAATCATCTACATACTGAATTAAGTGTGGATTATTGACATGCAATTTAGTCAATGCTGTATTTTCAAATTTTATCAAATTGAATTTCTCAGAGGCAGAATTTTAAAAAATAAACAATTCTGGATGCATACTAGTGCTAAGGTACTATGAGAACTGTGAACATTCTCTGGTCACTTTAATCTTCAAATAGAGAGTTCTTTGTCAGACCCAGTGGAGATATTTGGCTTGATCAAACTTTGGCAAGGACATAATTATCTTGAGATTGTTTGATTTATATTTCTAATTCATTTATTATTTAGATTAAATTGCAGTTCTGATGTTAGATTCTTTGTTTGGAAATTAAAATTATGGAAAGTTTCATAGGAGACCTTGAAACTATAAGTTACTATAAGTGTAAGTTACTGTAGTTATGAGTTACTTTCAGAAGCTCTGATATTGGTGCTGTTCATTTCAAGAGCAGCTCAGCAGATAAGTTACAGAAGCCTTGTTTGGAGAGAGCAGGTTATCTAAACCTTATATCAAATACAAAAAATCCACCTTGGAGAGTTTCTTATTTTTATGAGGATGAAAACATGCAGGAAAAAAATGCAAAGTGTTCTAGATTATCTGTATGTCCTCTGTGCCCAACTTTTTGTTATGAAATCTTCTGAGGGTGGCTAGCTGGGCAACCTTGAATAATTTAGTTGACCTCTCTGTAGCCCCATTTTCTCATCTGTATGCTTAGAATTGTGACAATCTCGATAATCTACATGGAATTACAGAAAAACGTACTAACTCTTCTTTTCCTCATATTTAATGAGGTGATTTGAAAAATAAAGCAACATTAAAGTATTATGAAATTTAGATAACTTATGTAATTTATTTTTCACAGTAAATATTTATACACATAATATATCTAAATGGTGCTTGGCCCATATTAACCTCCCAGCAATTGTTATTCAATATTGTATAATACTTGACCTACAGAATGTATTCTATGTATTTACCTCTAGGTGAATAATTATGGATAACACAGATGAATATTTGCTTAACTTTAAAGGATATAATTTTGAGAAATTGATTACAGATGTTGAACATTTAGAAATGATGGAAGATTTTGAAATTAGAGATGATGATGTCTTCTTAGTAACCTATCCAAAATCTGGTAAGTGTCAGGAGTGGGCATGTGCTCTTAATGTCTTCTTTGGTTTACAATTATGTGTGGAAACATGGCTCCTGTCTACTCTCCACAAGCAGAAAACCTATATTTACATAACAATTTATGATCAGATAAAGTCTAAATAAAACCCAATCTGTAGGAGAAAAAGCCACTATCAGAGAATGTAGTGTGTACTCTGGTAGAAAGCAGGAATGTTGTGAGAATGAGATGTGCCACATAGAGCAAGGAGCACACACTTGGTGAGCGCTGACCTGTTTGGTCTGTTGGACAGGGATCACGTCATCTGAAATAATGTCTCCTGAATGCAAATTTGCAAATGCTTCATTGTTTAGAATAAATTTTAAACCACATATCGCTAGCTTTAAAAGTATTCTATAGGAACTGAGATCTACTTAATACAATTTAAGAGTGTTCTTCCAGAAGACCCAGGTTCAGCTCCCAGCACCTACATGGCAGCTAACAGCTGTCTATAACTCCAAGATGTGACATCCTCACACAGACATATATAGAGACAAAACACCAGTGCACATAAAATAAAAATAAATAAATTACTGAGAAAAGAAGTTCTTACACTCACCAGTATGCATCTGTGCAAACACACACACACACACACACGTTTTTTTTGAGGTGTGAAATCTATCAGTGCTGGAGCAGTGATGTTCTGCTGGGGACAGGAAAATTCTCTTTCAATGGTGACAAATGAGTCACCAGAATCAACACTTGGAGATTTTTGTTTGTGTTTTTACTGTGGTTGATACAATTTAAGAAATAAATCTGTCCTTAAAATTTCACATGCCCTTTTAAAAAATAGTTCATGTTTGGCTATTGCCAAACACTACAGACAATGGGATTGTTCATGGTGTGGACAAAAAACCTTTTCAAGGCTGAGGTGATGGCTGTTGAGTGAAATGTGTGTCTTGGCCTTGAAAGATGAAAACCTGAGATGGGATCACTTAAACCCTTGTAGGCCAGATATGGTAATGTGTGTCTGTAATCTTGAGCTTCCTGTGGTGAGGTGGCAGACAGAGACAGGAGAATCCGCAGAATCCAGCTGGACCACATACTCAGAAAATGAACATTTTTCAATCAGGACTAAAGGCAACTGTATTCATAACACTACACATACACCAGGCTGCACACACATACAAGCGAGTACACGCACAAATTTTTCTCTCACACACACTTGTCCACCATATCCACAAGTGCACCACACACACATTCACTAGATATACACCAGAAACACACATAGGCACATGTGCAAGTATGCAAAGATAAAAATATCACTTCAAAATTAATTTCATTGTATACTTTCTGCCTTGCTTTTTATTCTGGAATGCTTATATGTATCACAGAACTTCATGAATCTAGGAATAACCATTTCATTTTACTGTAGATCTTAAACTCAAGGACTTGCCAAGATCTGAAAAATACATTGTCTTTGTACACACTAACATGTTAAACTGTTGCATTTTTATAAATATTGGTGTATAGTTAAAGAGACTTTGGTCAGAAATAATAGGTTTTTGTTTTTGTTCTGTTTTACACTCATGGTACAGCCAAGAGAAAGCATTACTTTCTTTCAGAGGGTCATTTTCCATCAATCTTCACCTATCCTAGTGCTCTGAAATCTCCTTAGGTATTTTTTCTTGTGAGACAAAAGTATTTGGAGATTTGTTTTATTTTTCTAGTGTATAACTACACCAAGGTCTTACAGAAATATTTTAGGAAATTCTTCCTTTTGTGAACCTGGGACCAATATGTTTCTAGATGTACATTTATACACCTCAGCATGAACTGTATCCTGGCTGTGGTCCATACTGGCAACCTATCCTTGTCATGGCAATAAGAGAAAAGGATAAATCAAGCCTCTTCATTATATCACATATTTGGTTTAGTGCCTTAAATAATCTGGTATTTTCCAAAGTATTGTCAATTGCTCCTAAAAGTCCTGGATGAAGGCTAGGACAATGATTATGATTGTGATGGCTCATGCAAGATGTCAGACACTCCAATTGTTACACCTCTGGAGTCAGTGACATCTTCCTAAGAATGGTTATTTCAAAATTTCAGGGACTGTTTCATGAAATTCACCATAATGTCATCCTCAGAATAACAAGAGTGAATGTTCAAGCCAAATTTACACTGGCAAATCATTTTGAATCGTCACTAATAAATAAGGTCGACCATTAGTACCATTGCATTTGATTACACCCAGATCCATTTGAACTGGAAAAAGTGTTGGGTTTTTATATGTATTTCCCAAAGAGTTTTATTGTTGTCATCTTACTTTAATGGCTATTAATCCAAGAATTAGTAAGTAAACTGGAAATCTTGACCTCTTTTTTTCCGTACAATGTATTTATAATCCATTCATGGGAACATGGAGACCTAGGGTTGGGCTTCAATTTTGTTAAGTTTTCTAAAATTGTAATACCTAACTTGTAAGAGTGTCTCAGAGGAAGAGCAATGCCTGTAACACACAGCTAAAGGGCATCCTATACCCTAGATGAATATATTATGAAGATCACGAACTACAAACTGAATGAAAGTTAGCAAGAAGTTAATGTGGCTTGCCTTGATGTGATTTTAGCACAGGGTGTACATGCGTGGTATTATAAGAACATACCTATTAATCTACAAATGCTATTTGTCTATTAGAAGTTTGAAATACTACAAAAAGACTTTTCTTGGAACACAGAATACAGAGAAGCTATAGGAATAATTTGAATAATCTCTATCAAGAAATCATAACAAAACAATTATACTAAAAAAAGGAATTTAAAGACCTTGATTTTGTCTTTTCTAATGTTATTACTGAACACAGATAAAAATCAAACAAAAATTATACTTGCTTGTTAGCATACATGCAATATTAAAAAAAAGCATCAAAGACTTGAAGATGAACGAAGTTACTATAGCTATTTATTACCTAAACCTACCTCAAGGCTGAAAATAGGATTGTTACCTCTTTTTACAGGTACCATCTGGACCCAGCAGATTCTCAGCCTGATTTATTTTGACGGCCACCGGAATAGTACTGAAAACATCGAAACAATGGACAGAGTACCATTCTTTGAGTACAATATACATAATTTAGACTATGTCAATATGCCGTCACCTCGCATCTTTGCTTCCCATCTTCCATATTACTTAGTGCCAAAAGGTCTCAAGAATAAAAAGACTAAAGTATGTCATAGAGCTTTTTGAACAGACAAAATACCTTAAGTATTAAATAATAAAAGTATTTCCATATTAGTGTTATGATGTACATCTCCCTGGTTATTCTCGAGTACGTCTTTAGGGTACTCTTCTACAAGTTTCCCTAGAACCCTCATCTGTGAATAGAACTGCAGAGCCACAGTGACTGGGGAAGACAGCTTATAGAGGAGGTGGATTATTTCGGAAGAAAGTGGATAATCAGTTATTGCTGAAACCTACAAAGAACCAGTTCTTGTTTTTCCTCTAGTAACTTGACACGTTGGATTTCAGTGTTTTTCAATGTGCCAGTTATTGAATGAAGACTCACACTGGTCTTAATTTTCATATGGCTGTTCAATAATGAGATTAAAAAAATTGATATTACTGACCATGGCCAGTGATAATTCTGTGAAAAGATTCTACCATTGGTCCAGCTTTTCCTTACTATAATTTTAGCATTATTTTCGTACTGGTATTAATTCTGTCACTTCTGCATGCTTTTCTACTTAAGGCCTTTCTCATGTTTTGGAACTTTGTGGTTTAATTTGATTAGTAACATTCTTAATTTAGTATAATCAAACATGTTGACTTTTTAAAATATAAATCCATCATTTGCTTATTTTATTTTAATTGAATTTTTTATCACTTAAAACAATTTTAAGTTTAAATATATTTTGAACATATTCTTCCCTTCCCTCAAGTCCTTCTAGATCCTCTCCCCCTCCTTATCCACCCAACTTTAATTTCTTTCTCAAAAAACAAACAAAAACCTAACACAATAACAACCTTATTTAAGAAATATTTCCTTGTTTCAAGATTAGAAATGTGTTTGTTTTTGGTCTAATGCTCTTAACAAACTCACTAATTATCATTCATAACAGTAGAGAGATATTACTTTTTAAATTACATGTACATACTGTTGATGTTTATAGCAACATAATATTTCATTCTTATATTTTCCACTTATTTCCACTGCTACCTTGGCTATATATAAGCTATCTCAGAAAACTTAATGAATATCAATTGTTATAGCCCTAAGCTATATGGAAAACATGTTTACCACATTTATCAACTTTAAAAATAATGTATTTTAATAATTTATTAATAAATTTAATAATAAAAATATAAAAATAACATTGACTTGTATTCTTTTACATGTGTGGAATACTATGTAAATGGAAGTATTCACTTTATAACATGAAACAAAAAGTTGATAACCAACTACATTTTCATAAATATTACCTAGATGTAAATAAAAATGTATTTGGACAAGTGCTATCATTTAATTGTTTAGAACTTATTAGAATAACCAAGAATTACTAAAGCAACTTTGTGTTTTTTCTGCAGATTCTTTATATTTATAGAAATCCCAAAGACGTTTTGATCTCATTTTTTCATTTCTCAAATTGGGTGGCTACTCTAGAAGCTACAGAAACCATAGAACATTATCTGGAAAAATTTCTAGATGGAAAAGGTAACTACATTTATTCCCTCTCATTTGTTTATAAAACACAGATGACATTTAAGGCATCTCAAAGTAGAAACATGTATCTAAGAGACAGAGGTGGCAGGAGAAGCTTAGAAAGAGTAATAATTCTGAACCAAAATAACCAGATACACAATTATTATCCTGCCACTGTCAGGACTATTTGAGGATTGCCAACTTGAAATGCTCTCTCTATATTATTTAAGAAGCACTTTGGCTAGAGCGCAAAAGATTTACAAGTATTTTATTTGTTCTTTCTATCTAATGGCATAGGAAGAGTCATATAGCTAAAGTTGAAGGTGAATGTAAGCTCTGCATGACCCATACTTGTTGGGAAACTGGAATCATTAATGTCACTACTGAGGAAAACTGATTAATGAAAGAGGCTGTGGGGTGTGGAATCAGGATCTCACACATTGCTAACCTTATAATCAGCTTCTATTTCGTTGTTGCAAGAAAACACTGCTCTTCAGATAGGACATGAGAAATGAAGACATATGCCTTCAGAGAGAGGAGAAATATAAATGTCCCTGAAGGGTATCTTTGAGGTCACACACTTGAATTTCTTTATTGAAAGGTTTTAGATTTATTTATTTTGTTTTGTGAGCATTTTGCTGGATGTAAGTATATACAACATGAGTGAAGTGATGTCAGAAGTCAGCAGAGAGCTTCAGATTTTCAGGAACTGAAATTACAGATGGTTTCTGAGCCACCCTGTGGGTACAGAGAACCAAATCCTGGTCCTCTGCAAGAGCAGCCAGTGTTTTAACCACTGAACAATCTACCCTGCCCCTAGAATTTCTCAGTGTCTGTCTTGCTTGCTGCATCCCTAAATAGGTAGATTGGTATGAGCCTTGTGTAATCGTTACACAAAAAGAACTCTTTGAAATAGTCCTGTAGACACCCAATGGTAGGGGCTTCATTTTTTTCTTCTGAATACTCTAAACTAGCAAAGAAAGACTATCATTTGTTGCTCAGTAAGTACAGCGCTTTGACTGTGTTACTCAGTTATTTTCCCTTCAGTTGTAGGAAGCCGTTGGTTTGATCACATTAGAGGCTGGTATGAACACAGACATGATTTCAGTATAATGTTCCTGAGCTATGAAGATATGAAGAAGGTAAGATGAGGTAGTTGTTTTGAAAATTACTTATCATCTCTGAGTTTAAACCACACGCTCCCCACTGTCCTCATACCACCAAAAAGCCTTTTTTGGGTTTTGTGTTGATGGAGGTTCCTGACATTCAGGCCCTGCTGGTCTTCCTCAGCACTCTCTTCTCCCTGTGGTCTCCTCTTGTTATTTCTTCTTGTGTCAACACAGACAATCTGACGTACATAGCATAGACTTGTCTCTTTAAGAGATTATCAGCCCTTAAATGTTCGTGTTAGTTGATTCAGTGTGGTATTGTCATCTATGAACACGGCATGCATTAGTCTTATTTCTTACATTCTTTCTTTTCTCAGACTTTTCCTAATTCCTAATAATTATAGTTCAACTTTCAGAATGACTATTGTACTTTTTTTTCCCATGGGATAGAGACGTTATTTCTATTTCTTTGTATTTGTTGATTTCACATAATCTGGTGGTTTAAGGTTTGTCCATTACCAACAACAGATTTTTACTTTTCTTTGCATCAAAATAGTACTGTATTTTTGTATATATAGTGCTTTTTTATTCTTTTATATATTGATTCGTATCTAGGCACATTCCATGCCTTGACTAGAGAGAAGAGTGCAACAACATTGGGTTCTGATAATGATTTGAATGCTGACTTTATGCTTATTGGACATACAGCTAGGAATGGGGTCACTGGATTATGGTGGGCCTATACTTAATTGTGTAGGATCCATACTGTTATCCATGGTGAATTGACTTACTGCCCCCAATATCTTACCTGGCACATTGCCTTCAGTATCTTGGTTTTGTTTGTTTCTATGCTGGTGATTGAAACCTGAGTCTCTTACATGACATACAAATGTTCTCCTTCCAATCTACATTCTCAGCCAGAGTCTACGACTTTGGACAATTTTTATTTTTGTCTTTTGTCTCCTTGAATTAATAACCAGAGTTATTGTTCATATAATTTTAGTATTTATAACATCTGTGATTCTATTCTTATCTAAAGAGTTTTTCATTTCTTCATGTCACTTCATGGTTATTACACAACAAAGTTATTTGTAGAAGGTAAGTTACTAACCATGATATAGTTATTGTATGGGCCACATAAGTTCCTTCCACATAAAAGAAAGATAAAGAAAAGAAAGCATGTGAGCATGTCAGGAGGAGCAAGTCAGTAAGGACTATTTCTCCGTATTTCTGCTTTAGTTCTTGCCGCTTCTTGATGATGGATGGACTATCACCTCCAATGTGAAATAATTCTTTTTCTTCCTACATTGTTTTGGTCAGTGTTTTATCTTAATAGAGCTCAGATAAATATAGATAGAATTTTCCATAAATAGTGGTTATATCCTTTTAATCTGTGATGCAATTTAACTGAGTTTTCTATGTTGATTTTTAATTTGATGACCTACCCAGAATTGAAAATGAGGTATTTAAATGAGCTACTAATATTTTCTAGGAGTCTATTTGAACTTTTTTTGTTCATTGGTGTTTATTTCAAAAAAGTGGAAGTTGTAACTTTATATTCAAAATTTTACTAAACATATTTTATCAAATATTTTGTTACAAATAACAGTAATTTAATGCAGAGTCCTTTATACAAATTATGTTGGTTCCTTTAGATGATTCATGGAGTTCCAGAAAAGGAATTTGTGTCATATACTCTATTTATAGTATTAATATAGCATTTTAGGTTCCATGATTTTTTTTTTACAAACTTTCAAAATCTAGAAATACGGCCAGGTGGTGGTGCATGCCTCTAATTCCAGCACTCAGGTGGCAGAGTCAGGAGGATCTCTGTGAATTCGAGGCCAACCTAGTCTACAAGATCTAGTTCTAGAACTGACTCCAAAGCTACAGACAAACCTTGTCTCAAAAAACGAAAAAAAAAATCAACCTAAACAAACAAACAAGCAAACAAACATATACTCCTCCCCCAAATCTACAAGCCTGATCTACAAGAGCTAGTTCCAGGACAGGCTCCAAAGCTACAGAGAAACCTTGTCTCAAAAAACAAAAACAAATTAAAAAAATACTGTGTTGCAATTCATATGTATTAGACAATTCTCTGTTTTGTTTTCCTGTATTTCTTTCAGTAATGGTTGGATAGTTTCAATAGGCTATCTCACTGCCTTTGTTAACTGTAATGCTAAGATTTTTGTTGTTATTGATGCAATGTTGATACAGTTTCCTTATTAATGTATAGAAATTCACCTGGTATTGTACATTGTACAATTGTAAATGGAATTGTTATTTGATTGTTCTTTCTGAACTGAAAACCACATGATCTGTTTGGTATGTTTCTAGTTTACAATCCTCTTTTCTTTATTTATTCCCAAGGTTGTAGCAAAGAGAGGTAGGAACGTTTGAGTGATTCTCAACAGGACCTGAACATTTTTATATGTTTTCTATTAAGTATTTTATGTGTAGGTGTTTATATGTAGCCTTTTGTATTTGAAGTACTTTCTACTGCTTTGTGCTGTTTTACTGAACTTATTTTCTGTATCAATTGAAATAATCATATTAATTTATTTTTCCTTTAGCATTTGTTGAGCAGTCTTTGATTTCTAGGAAGGAATTCTACATGATTATGTCACAAGTTTGGGTAACTCAGACCACCATCATAAAGTTAATAATTCCTCAACCCATGACTTTTCAGGACCTCAGGGGCTCAGTGCTTAAAATCTGCAGTTTTCTGGAGAAAGAACTGAATGAAGAAGATCTGGATACTGTTGTGAGACAAGCTACATTTCAGAACATGAAATCTGACCCGCGAGCAAATTATGGTAATATTATAAAGAAGGAAATTGGGGCAAGAAGCAATGGCTATTTCCTGCGCAAAGGTGAGAATCACTGGTTTGTAATAATGAAAGTACTGAGACTTCCCCCAGTCTCTTCCCTTGGAGCAATAGTACTGTGCTTCCAATGTGTTTCTCCAGGTGATAAAGGCACTGGGAACCTAGGGAACATAAAAAATATTAATGGACACTGAACTAAAAGAATTTATCAGGAAATTTAATAGTATTTTAGAAAAAACCACAATAGTTTTACTTATTTAATGTGTGGTTTTCGTTCCTTATAAGGAATGAAATATATATGTCAAATTATGTTTTAGAATGTTACATTAAATGATTTAATAAATTAAAATTTTGACTTGTGATCTTAAAGATTATCAGTTTAGGGTAGGTCATGCTTTTTTCACAACTGCTGACACACAAAACCTGTATATGATTGTTCATGCCTGTTTTCCCTCTAAGTGGTAGAGGAAGGAGGAGGGAGTGGTTGGCAGCAATCAACCAGTAGGACTCATATGATTCAACTCTTTTAAGACATGTCAGGAGTATTGTCCTATGGATATTTTTGAAATGGGGTGAATTTATTGATTTTGAAAGAAATTAGTACTACTTGGTTCAGGCTGGCATCACAGACATTGTGTAGCTCAGTCTCGCCTAGAATTTGATTTCCTCCTGCCTCTTGCTTGGAAGTGCTGGGAATAGATTTGAGGGTACTCACTTGGTTAGTCCACAAGAATTTTAATTTTACTTCTGTTTATTTCACTGTATTTTAAAGTGCAGGAGGTTTAGCCACTCCTTCCTCATACCCCACTTTTATTCATTGCCATAATTACAGCCATGTCTTATTCACCCTATCATCTGTGACTCAAACGTACGTATAAACAATTAATATTTTCTTTTCAATTTGGATTCATGGTCTCATTCATGTGACTCAGGCTGGTTTTGAACTTGCTATGTGTAACTGAGGATTACCTCTGACACCTAGTCTTGTCTCTGCCTCACTTGTGGTGGGAACACAGGCATGAGCAACCATATGCAGGCATTGTGACCTAATTATGTGTCAGCACTTGTTAAGAAAAATAAACTCACCTAAACTGGTACTCTTGAAACTCAAAGCTCAAATTTTAATTCACTATATTATTTAATGTAACATTCTAAAGCATAACTCGACATGTATCTTGATTACTTTAAGTTATTCATTGCTGATGATTATGATAGACTTTGGCTGTAAATAATGTGTAAATGCTTTATTGAAATTGATGTTACTTTTGATAATTTGCAAAAATGTTCCTTTTTTATCTTCTCCCAATTAACATTCCTTTACTTCTTATTCTCCAACTAGACCAGTGCTCATCCATTCTTATACCAATATTAATTTACTGTCCTTCCAAATGCAAGAAATAGTTTGTATAATCACATGTTCAAGCAGAAAATATAATGTTTATTGTTTCCATTTTTTTATTTTTGAGATAGGGTTTTTCTATGTAACAGTCCTAGCTGTTCTGGAACTAGCTGTTATAGAATAGGCTGGCCTTGAACTCACAGAGATCAGCCTGATTCTGCTTCCTGAGTACTGGGATAAAAGGCATGTGCTACCTACCACCACTCAGTGTTTGTTTCCTTTTTAACAGGATGTAATGGTGGTTGCAAATGTGTATCCTGTAAAATTGTAACAGTGGCAGCTCTGCTGTCCTCTGTAACCTTAATATCACTAATTGAAAGTTTTTGGCTTTAATTTTTTAATGAAAATGGAGGAATTTACAAGTTTGAATTGTATGTATGCCCCCCCCCTCCTCACACGGAATATACATTTGAGGTAAATAACAAAATAATTTTAAAAATCCCTCCAATTATGGAACTATGCAATTGCATTTTTTTCTGGCCCTTAAATACTCTTTTAATTTTTTATTAGAAATTTTCATTAAAATAGTGTATCACCTATCTCCTTCCCTGTCCTTTTAACCCTTGACATGTCCCCTCCCTCTGGCCTCTCCCATGTGCTCTTCTCACTCCCTCTAAAACCGATGACCTCATTTTGATTCTTACTGTTTCGTATGTTGAAGGTGAAGGCATAAGTCACAAACAATCCCACACTAGTTTGGAATTATGGTTAATAGGATGGTTATTTATTTAAAGGGGAAAAAACTTACAGATCACAGTCCCAGACAATAGCCCTCTGCACAATTGGGAAGGGAGTCTAGTCACCAGAAGTGGAACTGGAAGTAAGAGAGCGAGGAGGGAAGTGGCTGCTTTTATAAAGGGAGAGAGACCACGCCCCAATGGCCTGGTATCTCAGTGGCTATTGGCTGGAGGAGCAGAAGGACCTCCCACAACAGCAACATTATCTTAAATTGAGAAAAACTTAAAAGCTATCTCATGAAAACCAAGAATGAGAGAGGGTTGTTTGCTATTATATCCAATTCACTGCATTTTAGCAAAGTGCTTGAAGCACCAGCTAAAACAATAAGGCAAGAGAAGAAAATTCAAGAGATATAGACAGGAAAAAAAAAGGAAAATTTTTCCTATTTGAATATGATATGATATTATACATAAGAGAATCTAAAATTCCAACAAAACCCCTGTAGAAACAAGCATCAATTTCAGCAGAGTTCCAGGATATAACCAGCTTACAGAAATATGTAGCCTTTCTGTAGACCACCAACAAACATGCTGAAAGAAAGATTAAGGACACAATCCTACTTACAAGCACATCAAAGGCAACAAAATACACTAGAATAAACCTAACCAAGAAGGTGAAAGACCTCTGCAATGAAAAAGCTTAAATCTGTGAAGAGTTTGAGGAAGACATTAGAAAATGGAAAGACCTCCATGTTCATGGTTTTGTAGATTTAATATAAATAGAGAAAATGAATATCTTACCAAAAGCAATGTAGATCCAATGAAATCCCGATCAAAATATCCACAGCATAGTACTCAGAAATTTTAAAAAAGGCCAACCTAAAATTCATTTGTAGTCAGAAAAAACCTTGGATAGCCAAAGAAATAATAACTAAAAAGAATAATATTATAGGGATATTCATTCCAGATATCAAAATACATTATAGAGTAATAATAATAAACCCGGCATGGTACTGGCATAAAATAGACATACAGACCAATGGGATAAAATATAAGACTGAAACATGAACATATATACCTTGGGGTATATATTACATTTTATCGATTAATATTGTTGGTTTGTATTATGCTAGACATATAGTAGATTACTTCAAAAATTCTCAAGTATTCGTATTTGAAGGTTTTTTGTTTCTTCCTAAAGAATGGGTTATGATTGGTTCTTTAACACATGGGACAGTGATCTAGCAGGGCATTTGTTGTGTTTTGTGTAGGTGTCTTTCCCTGTTCTGTCTTCTGTAAAGAAAGGTGAGGAATCAAACTCCACAGAACACTCATGGTTACCTAGCATGGGTTGGAGAAGACATTGAGTTGTTAGAGTGACCTTTGATATTTTTATTCACTACCTACGGGCTGTCCCTATGCTTATCCCACTAGGTACCATTGGAGACTGGAAGCATCATCTGACAGTTAAGCAGAATGAACGATTTGATATGATATTCAAGAAGAACATGAAAAACTTTCCCTTGAAGTTTGTCTGGGATATAAATGAAGACTAGAGTTCCAATGTTAGTATAAAATAATCATAAAAGCCCATTAAGCAAAAGGCTTGCTTTTCTATCAATTGATATGTTTCTGTATCTTAATCATTAAATGCCAAGCTTTATTAAGGAACAAAATGAGTAAACACTGCCTGGATAAATTGCAATGAGTTTAATGAATGATTTTAAATTTCAAAATTAAATTAGTTTGGGTCCTAGTTAGCATTGGGACTGTGCACTAAAGAATAAAAAAATGGTGCTTTGCAATGTATAAAAATCTCTACAAAGAATTCTCTGTAGTGGACATTTTTGTTTCATGTTTTATGATTAAATTTTTGATTAAGAACTGTAAAGAAATGGCTCAGCAGTTAAGAGCATAGACTGCTTTTCCAGAGGACTCGAGTTCAATTCCCAGAACTGACATGCCAGCTCACAGCTGTTTATAATTCCAGTCTACAAGATCAAATATCCTCATACAGATATGAATGCAAGCCAAACACCAATGGACATATAAGAATTAGAAAATATATTTTGTATCAAGAAACATCTTCCTGTTCACACAATAAATCTTCAACTTTTCCTGACTCAAAAAGGTGGTGGTGGGAATATTAGAAATTTTAATTTGGAAAATTGTAACCAAGCATTGAAAAAATATCAGAATTTCAACAACAAGAAAAGAGGGATGAAGATGTGTTTCCCTACTCAATAAAATCTAAATATTTTGTTCATTATTTTTGTTTTTTGATGATTTTATACTTATACACGATGGATTGATTACTATTTTTACCAACCTTTGTAGACAATGCACATTAGATTTTCTTTTGCTGTTACATATAATGTTATTGACGCTATGAACTAAACTTTGGATAACTACCTGGTATATTCAGTCACAGCTCCGGGAACCATGCTCATATTATCACACATCTTTTGTACAACCCTGTGGCATGTATATCCCTACCTTCTAGGTAGGGAACTGAATAGTAATACGTCTGTGGGAGCTCATTTTTATCCTGTAAAATAAAATAAAATCAATGAAATCAATAAAATAGACATTCTTTATTTCTGGTAGTGTGTTTCAACCTGTTTGCTGACTATAGAGATACCTGTCTCATGCACACCTGTGATGAAGGGTAGGGAGCCTGAAGGCAACTGAATGAGCTGCTGATGAAATCTGGGAGAGAGTAGCAAGAGAGATGGATATGGCAGAGGCTTGAAGGAGGACACTTTGTAGTTAGAGACAAAGTGGAACTGTCCTGAATAGAGGCACACTTTGACTTAATACCAAGAAAGATGAAAGAGAGAAAGAAAGATTGGGAGACAGGGAAGAAGAAGAAGAAGAAGAAGAAGAAGAAGAAGAAGAAGAAGAAGGGGAGGAGGAGGAGGAGGAGGAGGAGAAGGAGGAGAAGGAGGAGAAGTGAAGGCGAAGGTGTAAGTCACAACAATCCCACACCAGTTTGGAATTATGATTAATAGAATGGTTATTTATTTAAAGGGGAAAAACTTACAGATCACCGTCCCAGACAACATCCCTCTGCGCAACCAGGAAGGAAGTCTAGTTGCCGGAAGTGGAGCAGGAAGTAAGAGAGAGTGAGAAGGGAATTGGCCACTTTTTTAAAGGAAGAGAGACCACGCCCCAATGGGCTGGTATCTCAGCGGCTATTGGCTGGAGTTGCGGAAGGACCTCCCGAAACACCTCCCCCTTTTGTTTAAGTAAGAGAGTTCTAAACCTACTATGAAATTATATACAATAAGTACAAATATCCTATTCTAACTAGCTTAGGTCTTGTATAATAAATAGCTTGGCCAAGTCATGAGTGGAAAGTAACTACATTTATATAGTCTTCAACCCCATCGAAGATCTGAGAAGGGAAATAATGTTACCTGGATAATTAGGAAGTTCAGTAAAACAACTTCCAAAACATGCAACAAATCACAGAGACAACTGGCTACCTAGGCAATCACCCAAAGTCACGTTTGCAGCGTTGAAGCAACCAACTTTGGCTAAGGCCAAACATAACTGACATACCATTTTCAAAGGCAAGCAACTTTTCAAAACTATCTTACCCTGTCTTGGCAGGATATGACAGTCCTGTTTTATCCATTGATGCATGCTCTGCATCTCTGTCAGTGGTTGAGGTATGGGCATTTCTTTGCCCAAAGGCCAGTTCTGACAAAAAGAAAGGCTCCACATGGAGTGTCTTTGGTGTTCAACATTGTCTCAGTAATAGATCAGTGTTCCCAGGAGCAATTGTGTCTCACTACCACAAAACTCTGAGTTAGATTAAAGGCCATTTTCTACAGTTCTTTGAAGAGGTTGAAGATTTTCTATCTATACTGAATATAATCTCTATGTATCTAAAGAACCTGATTAGTCTAATTATAAATGACAAACTTAGAATACTATTGATCTATATAATTCTAAAACCTATCTAACTTAAAGACTAAGACAATAAACGACTGTGAAACAAATGAGGACAATGACTTCCAAATATAAACAAGTACAATATACATTGCAGTATGGTAAATATATATCAATACATAAACAATCTATAAGTATCTTAATCAGAGGTAGAAATATACACTGCAATATGGTAAATATATACTATATATATATCAATACAATATATGTCAATACATAAAAAATGTTTTAAACAGAGGTAGAAACATGCATGCATACAATAGTCAATATAATTTAACTTTGTATCTATATAAGAATCGATACTAATATATTTGTCTCAAAACAATAACTCACAAGTACCAACAAGTACCAATCTATTATCCCATTATCCCTCTTTTTTTTGTTTTTTTTCAAATGATCCCTGAGCTTATAAAATTCCACCCCCAACCTTCAACCATATACTATTTATAATCAACCCCTAAATGATGTCCCTAAACCCAAGGGCAAACTTTACTGGGAGAGGGGACGTCGTTCTCTAGAATTACTTCCAGCTGTCATGGGGGTGACGTTCTTTCTGGGGGATCCTGTGAAAGGAAAATGATGGTTAAATTTTAAGATCAATGTCTTTTAAAATTGCAAATAGTCTCTGAGTATTTTGTGCAGGTCTGGCCAGAATGTTGTACAAGATGTGCACCATTTCAGCTAACCAAGTTGGAACTGTCTTGTGCAGCTGGTACCCAAAACAGGTCTTGTAGTAGCGCTATCAGTATCATAACGTCATATCAACCAGGTGGAGTTGTTGTTGTGAGGCCCCATCTTCTTCCTGGAAACTTCAAATGTCACTGCAGGAAAAACACATTGTTCATTGTGAAAAACTTAAACATTAATCATATAGACATATATAGACATACATATATTCAATGGAAGGCATGATAGATATATTCAATGAAAGGTATGATAGATATGAAGAAAAGCAAAGATGTATTCTAAACTCATTATTTCTTTCTGTACCATATCATGGCTCTTGACATGAGACAGAAACTCTGGGTTATTTTCTTACCAACAGGCTTGGAATTGGAGAGGGACTGAGCCAGAGTCCAACTTCAAAACCAGCTCTATGTATTAATAAATAAATGCACATTAATACATATTTAAAGATAAGAGTAGAATAATTTTACTTACGAGACCTGTTTGATTTTCTTGCTGATTCTTATTGTGTTGTAAATAGTTTCCATCTGTCAGTATTCAAACATCCAGGGTCCCTTGAATTTTTTGAAGATGAGTGTTTTCCTGCAAAGATAAGAAGAGAACCCTGCCCCCTTACTATATATTTTTCTTACCACCTGTATGAATATCATCATTGTGGATAAGCTGTCATTTCTCCTTTCCAAGAGGTTTCTCATCTCTAAATTGAATCTTTATTAATTTTGATGATATCCACAAATTTTCTTCTCCTGTGGAAATAAGAGGAAGACCTCTTCCCCAACATAGCACATCTCCTGGCTTCGATTGAGAGGTGGTCACATCTTTGAAATAAATCAGTTGATTTAGTTCAGCAGACTTTTCCATTATCCAGTGTCTTTCTGCTGCTGTTGTTCCTTTCTCATTAGCATTAAGAAAATCAAGGTTAATAAAGCATTATGCAATCTATTTCTGGGCATATTTTCTGTCCCTTTCTGTTTGTTCAGCAAGTCCTTTATAGTACAGTTTGATCTTTCTATAACTGCCTGACTTGCAGGATTATTTGGTATACCTGTAATATGTTTTATATTATAATAATCAAAAAAGCGTTTCATTTTCTTAGATAAAAATGCTGGACCATTATCTGTCTTTATTTTTGCAGGTATACACATGATGGCCATAACTTCCAATAAATGTGTGATTACTGAATCAGCCTTTTCTGAGCTCTGGGCAGTAGCCCATTGAAAACCTGAATACGTGTCTATGGTGTGGTGTACATATTTTAATTTACCAAATTCCATAAAGTGGAACACATCCATCTGCCAGATTTCATTTGTCGTAGTACCCTTTGGGTTACTCCCTGCAGGCAACAGTGTTTGATTATAGAAAGAACAAGTAGGACATCTCTTTATAATGTCCTTAGCTTGTTGCCATGTAATGGAAAATTCTTTCTTTAGGCCTTTACTATTGACATGATGCTTTTTATGAAATTCTGAGGCCTGAAACACACTTCCAATCAATAATTGATCAATCTCAGCACTGCCTTGTGCTAGAGGACCAGGCAGACCTATATGGGACCAAATGTGTATTATGTAGATCGGACAAAGCCTGTTCCTGATTATGTCTTGTACCTGGATAAACAATGAAGTCAACTCTGTGTCATCTGGTATAAATTCAGTGGTTTCAATAAGCAAGATAACTCTTTCTGCATATTGTGAATCTGTAACTATATTAAGAGGTTCTTTAAAATCCCTTAGTACCATAAGAATGGCATATAATTCTGCCTTCTGGACAGAATTATAAGGGCTTTGTTCCACCTTACTCAATTCATCTGACTTGTAACCTGCTTTCCCTGATTTATTTGCATCAGTATAGAACGTACGAGCTCCAGTTATTGGAGTATCATGTACAATTCTAGGAAGAATCCAAGAAGTTCTCTTTATGAGGTTAAGTCTACCACTTTTGGGATAGTTGCTATTAATCTCTCCCAAAAAATTAGTACAAACTCTTTGCCATGGTTCATTGTCTTCCCATAACTTTTTTATTTCTTCAGTAGTAATAGGCACTATAATTTCTGCTGGGTCTTTACCTGCTAGTTGACAAAGTCTCAGCTTACGTTTTATAATTAATTCAGAGACTTTTTCCACATAAGTTTTTAATTTTTTACTTGGTTTATTAGGTATAAATATCCACTCTAAAATAATATCTTCCATCTGCATTAGAATCCATGTAGGAGAAATTCTGGAAGGCAATATGACTAGGATGCAGCTAAGATTTGGGTTCACCCTATCCACATGTGCCTCCTGTAATTTTTCCTCAATCATTGTCAGTTCCTTTTCTGCTTCAGCTGCCAGTTTTCTTGGACTATTCAAATCTTTATCACCATCTAAGGTTTTGTTTAAATGAACTATTAGATCAGGTGTTATCCCAACAGACTGGTCGTAGACTGGAAATGTCTCCTAACAATCTTTGGAAGTCATTAAGAGTCTTTAACCGGTCTCTCCTAATTTGTGCCTTTTGCGTTTTAATTTTCTCTAACCCTATTCTGTAACCTAGGTAATTAATAGAATTTCTTCTTTGAATATTTTCAGGGGCAATTTGTAATTCCCACCTAGGTAAGACTTTCTTTACTTCTTCAAAAATCCTTTCTAAAGTATCTTTATTTGAATCAGATAACAAGATGTCATCCATGTAATGATAAATTATAGACTTGGGAATTGTTTACTAATTATTTCCAATGGCTTACTTACAAAATATTGGCACAATGTAGGACAATTGAGCATATCCTGAGGGAAGATAGTCCATTGATATCTCCTATTAGGCTGAGAATCATTATAAGTAGGCACTGTGAAGGCAAATTTTTCTCTATCCTTTTCTTATAATGGTATAGTGAAAAAACAATCTTCCAAATCAATAACTATAAGAGGCCATCCTTTTGGTAAGAGAAGGCAAAGGAGTTCCAGATTGTAGTGGGCTGGTG